AGGTTATTTTAAGAACTGTTCACTGAAAGGTTATTTGACGAACCAAAAATGCTCCTTCTATGGTGTCACTACAAAAAAGAAAAAACTCTGGAACCTTGATTTTTAGAGTGTATGCTGGAGATGACTTGCTGATATTTTATTTGTCATTGAACAAATATGGCCTTTCATTTACCTGCTACACTGAGGTGTATGCCACCTGATCCAGTGTATTTTCCATAATTGGAATTCATTTCAAAGCGAAAGAAATACATTCCGTTGTCACTTTTGGAGACATTGTGTATCTGCAGTGAGCAGTTTCTGTCTTGGTTTGCATAAGCTGTTCTGTTTTTGTACAGCTGGTGAATCTCTGCTGTATTTGACTGATAGACAGATATTCCCATCTGGGATCCGTCTTGTTTCTGATGAACTTCTGGTTTGAACCATTTTGTTGTTTTAAGTGTGTAATAATATGGATAATCAAAGGTGCAGCTGAAATCCACAGATGATCTTTCCAATACACATATGCTTCTAGGGTAGTATGAAATTGACCATGAAGCCACAGCAGCTAAACACACAAAAAATGTTTGTTAAGGTTTTCAGTAAGTCACCATTACTCCTGGTTCTTCACCCACAAGCACTTTTTTGGAGTCTAGACTTAAAATAGAGATTCTAATAAACTACCGATGACCGGATCTGACCAAAATGTACAGCGGCAAACTGTTTAGTCTCAACCAGGGGAATCATATGGAGCATCAGCACACTTACAAAATGGCCACAAAATGGTTTAAAAGGATTTAAAATTGAATAAAACAAGCTTCGAAATAAGCTAAATCAGCTAAAAAAAAATGTATAGATATTTTTCTTATTTAATGTTTTTCTTCCAACAACTATAATTTCCTGGTCATTTTTAAAGTGTGATTTCCAGGCATGGAAAAGTCATGGACATTTGAAAACCATTGATTTATTTATTTTATGCCAAGCTCTAAAATATTTTATTGAGCAGAAACCCTTCATCCCAAAATAATCCCATAAACAACTGGAAATATCATATCAATTCTTTGGTCAGTGTAAACCCCGAAATAAATTCAGTTCTTGGAATGCTTGGAATTATGGAATTTAATTATTTCATTTTTATTATTTCTAATTATTTTATATAATTTGTATTATTTAACTATTAACTTAACAAGTATTTATATATATATATA